AGTGAGAACAGTAAAGTAACTGCGAACTTGGGTAATATATGTGTGCAAAAAACGCACCTTGGCTGTTGCACATTTGTAGTTTAGTCATAAAAATATGAATTATGGTTACTATGCTAACATTTATAAGGGGCGTTCAGAATAAGGTAGGCCGCAATAGTTACTGCGCACTAACTCCACGGAAACTCTCGTTGAATGCAATCAGATCAACAGGCTAACACTTGTATTAAACATATTCTACTCAACGCCAGGAGAGAATATACTGTAGGCCGTGTCTTGAAATTACAGGGTTAAATATTTCCTCCAAACGTCCAATAATACAGCTATAATCCACGGTATCGAAACCACGTATAAGTAATTTAACGGTTCTCCAAAAATTCCACCAACTATATAAATTGCCGGCCCTACTTGACGTTTGTTTGGAATCTGGCCGGAAGGCGACATGCTTTTGCTTTTTAACTGCAATTTAAGCCCATCTCTTCGGCCAAACGTCCGATTCATTGGTCTACCCTGCGTTGGTCTTTTGATATCATGAAGAGAAATTTTTTAGTATAGGGTCCTTTTGGACGTTGTACAATCTGCTATACTTATGATCGGACATTGTTTGAACTATGTATGGTATTATATTTAAGATGTCTAAGATAATCTAAAACAAAAATAAAAAGAGTAAGGATAAATAGTATAATTTAAACGCCGTTTTCTCTTTTTTGGATTTCAAATGATATGCATCTTAACATCCTCAAAACCAGTATCATTTTCAGTATCATGAAAGTGCATATATACTGTATAAATCAAAAAATCAGTTTTTTAACCATTTCCCCTTAACCACGCAGGTAGCCTATACTCAAAAATACGTTGAAAGCATTACGGTATGTAAACAGTTTAAAAAACTCGAAATCCCGTTGATAAAACGTGCTTTACTTAACAGAGTTGGATAGGATATGCCTTGACGATTAAAGGAAGGTTGTTTAATTCTTCAGAAAAATCATCATCATCATTATTGCTATATATAGGTCTTACTAACACTGTGTGCCTTTAGCAATGGGGTAATAGAAATTCTGTGTACAGGTAAAACTGAAATCTTGTACTGGTGATAACCCCCGCATGCCTCGATAATAAATCGGTTTGTATATAACTTTCCCGCAATAAACTTGATTGCTAAATAAATACACGGGTGAGAGACATGCAGGCAAAGTATGCACGTATGCCTACAACTGTCGATCGGATGGTTGCTTTCTCAGATAGCGCTTATTAGGCACCCATCAGTATATAAATAAAAAAAGGTGATGGAAAGGTGAGAAAAGGTCTGCCTTAGACTACAGAAGTGGTGATCGGACAAGAGCATAGTAGGAAAACGTATGGGAGAAGGTTGGTTTGACATTCATAACATTATATTTCGAGTGACTACGTGTGTAAGATTTTTTTACTGTAGAATCACTTAATTTCTGTATAATCACCACACGATGGTTATGTTAACAGGAGAGATAAAAAGGTTGTCAGAGGTCAAAATGCATTTGATTTATTCGATTTGCTGTATGAAACGAATGACCAAAGTCGGTATTGGCAGGGGGATCTAGGATCTGGTGGAGGGTTAAAAACACTTCTTTGGTCAGAAAAGATTCGCTTTGTATCACCCTGTGGTCCAAAGGCCCTGAAACACTGAGCTTGCCACCGCTTGAAGGACGAAATTTACCCGCTTTCACTTTGAGAGTGTCTGATAGTTAGCATCAAATTCATACATCAAGGTTGATTTAATTATTGCAAGCTTTTCTTTTGCCATTTTTTTTTTCTGAGTCAACCAAAATCGGTTTGCCAACCAGGTACAAGCCCGATGCAGCAGGGGCTTAAGTTCTATGACATTTTTTTGAGTTGGGTCAACTCAAGGAATAAAAACGCATTTTCAGAAAAGACCCCCCCCTTGCTATAATAGATCTGAAACGTTTATTGGGTGGTATCAGGATGCCAAATCTGAGAAACCATCGCACTGAATATTATGTTACCAATTAAAGGTACTTGACTTAAGGTTATTAATGCTCCTTTTCAACGGTATTTGTTCACACTGCTGTCACGCAAATTGTTCTCAGAGTGCGTTTATTTAGTATTTAATTATATGCCATAATTAAATAATAAACTTACTCGAAAAGAATCAATATTCAAGACGAACAGAAAGGACGCAAGTGGCCAGGGATAACATCTCTGCTGCGATATGCCACGGGCATTAATTTGTCAATTATTGACACCAAGACAAAAACCCCGTTAGTTTGCGTTTCTTTTTCTTTTTCAATAAGTAAGTCCCTGCATTCATTCTGTGGTGATTGGCATGCACGCACATTTAAGTTACTATAAAAGAAAAGACCTAATGCTGTTAATGTTATCCCTTTTAGTACATGATAACCTCGTCTCCACGTGAGTGACGGAGAGTTGATTTATTGAATTCATAGATAAATAATTTCCAAGTTACATAGATAATGTTTACAGCCACCGTTAAAACGGCCAATGCTCAGGCTACATGAAATATTCCAGTAACACCTGACGATTTGGACATTTGTTGTAACATCTATCAAGGTGTTATGGGTTTTGGTTATGTTTGGATTCTATGTATCTATAGTCCATTTAGCCATTTATGCAATATATATATATATATATCACGGAGAATATAATCGATTCACTTTGGAAGAGTGCTCAACCCATGGTGACGGACCATGGGGAGCTGATACAGAAAGGCAAGAAAACGAACAAAGTTAATCTGTCATCTGCATGTTGATTAATATAAGGCCCTACAACCGCTTCGGTCGGATGCCTCATCAGGGCCGCAAACAGATCAAAATACAAAAGAGAGCCTTCTTCTTTTATATATATATTAAACAGCGTGTTTTTGTTTGCAAATACACAAATGACGGCAATATTGAGTTAACAGAGTTATAAAAAAGTCCTAGTGTTCAACTCAAGCAATAACACATGGAAACTGCCAGTACTTCACGTGTTGTATAAGCTACCAAACGTAGGTCAAGATCTATGTAAATACTGAATCCGAACAACAGCATTTTAAAGATCTTTTTTGTGCTTCTTGGTATCTGCGTTAACAACATTTATGCTACATAAGTACCACTGCTCACAACGGCTATATTAAAGCTGGAAGTACTCGAAGAGAAAAGTCTGAAAGAAACGTTTAAAAATCGGCATGTGTAGGTTTTTACTTCCCTAATCTGACAATCACTCAAGAAACCACACACTGATACCAAAGAGCAGTTTAAATAATTGCCTTAGTATTTGCCCTTCTCCGTTTCCTAAGCTTACTGATAAAGTCAGAATGCAATATCGATATTGTACGTTCGGATGCTTAAAAGTGCGCCGAGACAATAGGGTCTTTCTCGTTAATAATTTAAGCGGTGCACCCGTGCAAATTTGCTTCTCCCGCCGAACTGAAACATTGCCTCCAATCACAAATATCCATTCGCTGTGAATCATGAATAAGACATAGACACCTTTTCATTAGTTTTAGTATCATAAAACATGACACCTGTCATAAAAAGTCATTTGATGATAACTGTGTATATCTATATACGATTGCTTTGACAGTGAGTTGTAGCATGGTCCTTTCAGAATAATGGTTGACGCAAATGGTTACCTCCAATGGAATTGAGTTGACATAATCTTATAAAACATTGAACTTGAAATACCGACGCTAAAACGTGCGATGAGATTGCAGTATATGTTTTAGACACATCTTTCTATAAATTGCAAAATTACAGTACACGTATGATACTTGTCAAAATTATCAGCCATATCAAATATGGTCATTTGAATCAATGCGGAAATAATCAAATAGAGTTAATTTGGAAAATGGCATATTCTGTATTTCATTCGGACACATAATCTACATGGCATGCAACACATCACTGCAATAGTTTTAGCTTACAGCGTGGGTTAAGACATTATGTTTAGACCAAATAATGGATAATCTATTAAACTGCGGGCAAAACGATTAGTTTTGCTGCCATCTTAGTACGTGGTCAGAATAACACTTATAGAACATCCATTTCCTAATGATTTGATTAATTCTTTCTTGGAATATATGGTATTGATGTTTAGGTAATTATTCGGATCGTACGAATGATATATATGTCGTATTTACTCACTGGGGGCTCTTTCTGTTTCAGATATGAATAGCGCTGGATGAGAGGGCTTTATTCTTGGGAATAACGTGTAATTAGAAAAGCTGCCAATTAATCTGAAACTCGAGAGGGAGCTTCCCCTGCAAGAAGCTACTCATCCGTACAAGTAGAAGTGTTCGTGTTGGCCGGCACAACGTCCAACAGATTCAGGCCCAAGGGAAACATATATGTTGGAAGAACATGGTTTCCAGTGACCCTTGTTGACACGGCGTGTATTAAATAACTTCGCCTTTCAAGGTTACTTTAAGGATGAGACTTATATTGGATTGTGCCGCCAGGACACCGAAATAGCTTAGAAGACTTAGGAGATTTTGCTGTCTGAGGGAAATCCAGACAACACAACACTGACTTAATTACTGTGACTGGGGCTGCCAAAGGGATCACCAGACTTTCAAACGCATTCCATGATAAGGATTCCCGCAGGATTCTTCTTAAACAACATTGGTAGAATATAGGCATAGAAGAAGAATAGGAGACTCTTATTAATCACTACTGGAGGATATTTCACGAGAAAGTACCTACCAAATTTTCACGAGGAAGTCTGGAGTTAGAAGAAATTACATCATTTTTTCAATCACGTTTACAATGCCAAATTGATTGGATCACGCTGTCAGAACACGTGACAGACACGTGTGTTAGGAGATAGAGAGCAGATCTGGCGTGAATTTATTTCGATATAAACACGTCATTGGAATCAGTTTGGCGGATTATAGCTGCACAGCGTTTGCCTGATTTCCACGAGAGGGCTTTTAAAGGGCGACGAATGCTGAAATTCTGGACTTCCCTTCAACGGGTTATTATTTCATAATGGTAATTTTTACTATTCAGATGTATCTTTAATTGGACTCTTCGAAAATTTAAAAGTAATTTATACTTTGACTTTTTGAATAGTCTGGTGGCTCGAATGTAGTCTTACGTAAATTACTTTGAGGAACTCTGCTATTGAGAATTGCCCTCACAGATAGAAAACGTTATCGACATTACAAATATTGGAAGGAGGACAGGGTTTTTCACAGTAGAGATTTTCTTGGATTGACAAAGACAAAGGATATTTAACGTATATTCTGATCAAGAGGAAAAAAAATCGTTGCCGATAAAGAATAATTCCGGAAGTTACCACACCTCTTCCTCGATAATTTTTAAAAGACCAATAACTATGGAATTGGACGCTTTGGAGGAAAATATATTAGAATATAACGCCACAAACCACGTCACAGCAGGCCATCACAATGGCTCGGCAGACGATCAGGAATACCACCATCTAATTTCCGCAGCAGAGATTCTCAGCAAGGCTTTCCCGCCAACTTTACTGATCTTGGGCACCATTGGGAATATATGCTCTCTGCTGGTAATGACCCGTCCGGCAATGCGGTCCACTGCCATGGGCATTTATCTGTCCGCATTGGCCTTGTCGGACCTCTTGGTCATTTGGGTGGGACTGATAAGACATATTCTTAAAGCATATAATAATGTGGATATTCGGAACAGCAGTCCGTTTATGTGCACGACACAGCGTTTTCTGTTATATTTTGGAATGGATGTGTCGGCGTGGATCCTTGTCGCGGTTTGTGTTGAGAGATTCATAGGGGTGTGTTTGCCCACGAAATGCAGGCGGTGCGCCACCGTCAACAGGTCAGTGTTGACCGTCTGCGCCATTGCTGTCACGATGGCCGCCAAAACAATGCACGTGTTCTGGACACGTGGCCCTCAGTACGCAACTGTCGGCAACGAGACGATCCTAGTCAAAAACTGCGGATTCCCGAGCGCAGACGACGAATACTTTTGGCGCCAAATTTTACCGTGGATGATATTCATTATATATGCAGGAGGACCGTTTCTTATCATGATAATTTTAAATATTTGCATCATAAGGGGACTTGTTAAGATGAACAAGCGCCGCAATGCAATGTCAGGCGAAAGTCAACGAACACCAATCGGGAAAGAGCGAGAGAAAGCGCGAGATGACTACACCAAGTCCATGACTATGATGTTAGTTTGTGTATGTTTCTGCTACCTCCTACTTGCTACGCCTGGGTTCATAAACAGCGTGGTGGAACTGCGCTGGAAACCAAACATTGCAACTACCAGCCATTTGGAGCTTAACATTTTCAATCTGGTTAAGGTCATCCTATTGATGATGAACTACACGAATCACTCCATTAATTTCTTCCTGTATTGTCTCACGGGACGAGGGTTCCGACAGGAGTTCGTCAGCATGGTGTGGGGCAGGGCAAAAAATAGTCAAATTATAAAAAGGCTTTCTACAAGGAGAGGCCGTACCATAAAAGTGCCTTTGGATGATGAACTTTGAATATATAAAGGAGATACCCCATTGTAATGTATGAACAGTACATTCATTTACGAGCTTTTGTATTTTACAGGAATTTGACGAAATCAGAATGATATCCTACTTCTTAAGAAATATCTAATGAAACAAGATATTGTGATGTGATCAATTTAATATTTGGCCTATCAAAACAGTGATAATTCCGTGACTAGTAAAGGTTCCATGGCAAAAACAGACACGGGCCTGTCTTTCCAGTTTAATAACTGTTATTAGCTTGTATATTGTTTATATTTATTCGGACCATTTGGACCATCACCCTAGTAAATTGGAAAGTTGTGTTTCGATCCTTGTCATTGGTGCGAAACATTTTATTCCATACGATAATTTAATTCATGTTTACCAGCATGGGATCAATTAAACTACGTAAATCAAACACTGACTTATCCGTTGTTGTTTCGTAAGTTTTAAATAGGTCGACACTTTATACAAACAAGGGCACAGCTGCATGACCAGAGAGTCTTTTTATAATTACGACCGCGAACATGTGACCTAATCCACAGCCAAAAACTGCCACATTGCGGTTGCAGTTAACACAGAGAATGTATATATCTATACAGAAGAAAAAGTGACTCATAATGATAGAATATTAAAACTGTTCAATTTCTGCACAATAAGTTGAAAACGTACTTACCTGAGCGATTTCGTCCCAACACTTGGGACATCATCAGTCACTCTGAAGTTACGGACCGTGTAAAGTGAAAGGTTTAGTGAGAACTGTTCACTATAACACTGTCCCAGACGTGAGACAGGTTGTGCCCCCCCAACCCCCCCCCACCCCCCGTCCTTGTTTCGTGAACATCCAAAATAAACCTCGTACGATCACGTGCTGGGTCTTATAGTTAAGGCGCATTAAGACTTTTTTTGTTTTCAGGCAAAGACTTCAAGGCAAAGGCGTTCAAACAAAACTATAAATATTTTTGTATTATTTTAAAGTGATGTCGTACTCTTAGTTGTAAGTTGTTTTATTATGCTTTTTTAAAATTCTTGTATATAATCATGTACCCAATAAAGTCATTCAAATCAAAAAACAAAAGAGTGAATACTGCAATGAAAAAAAATAACAATAATGGAAAATGATTGAAATACAAAGATGAAAAGTCAGCAACAAGTATAAGCCTGATAAATAATCAAAAGAGTGATGATTAGAAAGGGGTACCCCTTCCTTTTGTAATTTTTATTTTCTCTTATCTTTTAATTTTTTTTTGATTTTTAGAGGGGGGGGCGCAAGGTACAAGTAAAGAAAAAGATGTGGACGTTTTGTACCCATGACACACCGGAGACAAAGTAACACTACAGTGAGGTTTAACTGAAAACCAGTCACGCCACCGGATATCCATATTTTTCAGGGGCAGAGAGGATTGTTCCCGTCGGATCTAAACGCCGTTTTTTCTGTTTTGATTGCTTGTGGAAAAAATCCAAGTGAGACCATCAAAACGGAATTGGAATGAATTCCTTTCATAAATTTACCTCTTTTTGGAAACTGCATTATGGCTCCTGCCAACATTTAACCTGCGCTGTTGTCTTAAAGAGTGTCCTTTTTGTATGGACTTAATAAGTTGCAGGAGCTAGTTTTTTTTTGCCATTTATATATTATTTATTAATTATCTAATCTGTTGACTCATTTTTTATTATTATAATAGTGGCAACATCATATAGAAAACTGGTAGCGTGAAGACATCTTTAGTACACTCTGTTATTACACAGCTTGTATGCTAATGTTAAAGAGGTATATATGTTTAAGATGTAAAGGTAATCATGTACAATTTTACAAATCCAGCTAATTTTTGTTTTCAAACGTGCCGGTTTAAGTTCATTGGCCCAACTTCATGTCGCTTAACTTCGCTCGACTATTTGTAACTTCTTGCATCCTCACCTCGCCACAGACCAATACAAAAACCGTAAGAAAACAATTCCTTAATGGCAAACATATTCACATGTAAAGATACTTTATTTCAATAAACATAAAATCTTTCTTTAAATATAGATTTATATATCATATTGAGAATGCTCTGTGACATTCACAAACTCTGGTGTGGCACCATGGGACAATAAATTAAAAATATCAACTTTAAAATAAATAAGAGCATCTCAGCTTTTAAGTGATTCTCCACTATGGCATGAGATTCGGTCATCTTTGAGACATTCTTTTAGTTTAGTGCTTTTTAAGGAAAGATACGCCATTACTGATTTCCCTGAACCAAAGAGAAAAGATCCAACACCGTCACGGCCTACCAGGAATCCCCAATACGAGTATATCTTTTTCCCCGCTAAAATAAAGTTTAAAACACTTAGTCTACAATAAAACTATATGTTTAAAAGTCCCGCCACATTTACCCAAATTTGCAACCTAAACCGTCCCTCATTCGACCAATCAGAGATTGGTTATTGTTTGAGCAAGAATACTCAAGAAAGCCCCTCTAATTTTTGGAAAAGTATTGAAAGTACCAAGGAAAGAAATGAGCCTGGATATGAAAAAGTGCCACCTTAACCAGAAAATGATGTTCCTTTGGCATTCAGTAAAGAAACTCCCGATTTTTTAAACCTTGAATTCGGTTTTTCATGGCACGTGATTGAGAGGCAGCACTGTCTTGCCAAGCTCGTGCAGGACGCACCATATGGAAAATAAGGAAAAAATCCATGTGCAAACGTTCCGAGTAAAAAAAGAAGATCAGTTGGAGGGGGATACAAACAAAGTTGTAAGTACGTCACACAATGTTCGTTGTGGCAACGAAAAATGGAATGTTTAAGTCGGACCAATCCTCAGAATAATTTGCACAGGAGTGAGAGGAGAAGAGGAAGGGAGAGGAATTGAAGAACTATTTGGTGCAACCATTTTCCCGCCACCGAAACATCTACGCCACCAGTATCCACAAATCGAAAATCGACCAACCAACCAACCAACCAAGCATTCACCACCACCGCTTTTTTCTAGTTATTAATTTATTGCATTATTATTATTATTATGAAGAATAACATGACTGATTATTGCTATAATATGTCATCATGTAACCTTGTGAAATATTGGGCACTAGCGTTTCTTGGTCAAAGGCGACATCTATTTAATAATTGCATCTTATCGAAGGTCAGCGCCCAATCTTTCACATTGTCAGAAAAATAAATTGAAAAATATCATTTAAAATCTAAATTGTAGCTACAAACTGCCTCATGCACTAATAACTTGGCATTTCTAAATAGCACATTTCTCTATAAACTAATTATTTCATCAGTATAGAAAGTGTCTTCGCAATAAAAATGAGCACAACCATGTCTAAGAGCACTCTTCCATAACGTATTGCACTTGAAATTAAATCTGATATATATGTATATATAATATATGTTTACCTCCTCGAAAAACTCAACAAAAAAGATATAACGTAAAACGCATTGCGTATATGTTTTAAATCTGGTCACAATAATAACTTTTAGCTCATTTTATAATAATAATAGTAACTATAATGTTCGGCTCTAGAAGATTTGGTCAAGCGAACTAAATTGAAAAAAGACCGACTCCAAGAGAGTCAATTGCTTTATGAATTTGACAATATAGCACTGTGTCCGTACGCTTATCTCATATACATATTCATATTCAAGTGTATCTTGTCTCTATGTAGCGATAGTTACCCTTATTGTCGTGCTGTAAGAGTAATAAAATGCCTACAAGTGCCATAGTAAAGTAAAACCTATATCGGTCAAATAAATATCTTTTAAAAACGAAGGCGTTTCACACCAACGATCAGTAATGAGATTTCAATACATGAACACTGAATAATCTGTTATGATAACTCGCTAAAATAAGCTATATAAATAAATGCGTGTCGGTAACATTAATGACCTAGGGTATATTACTCCGTTCTCAATCAAAAACTTCACTTCTACACGTGACCACTAGCTAATAATGTGGGCGTGTGTCGGAGTTTACGTGTAGGTCAAAAGGTTATCAAATATCATAGTAAATATATACAATATCTTTCTAACGTTATCTACTTATATTCATGTATCTATATATGTATAACATTCATCAGCACACAAGAGATATGGTCATGATTTCTTTCATTTTCAAAACTACTGAGCCAACGATTTTTGTTTGAAACATTTACCTGGAATGCATAAACCCTGTTACATTATAGGCTTCTCCGAGATGTGAAAATATGCTGCATTAAAAAATAACGTCTGAGAAGACGTCCCAACGAATACGAATATTGCATATATGTCCGTTTACAGGTATGGAAGCACTCGTGGTTAGAAAAATACATTGGTAAAATCACAAATCACACATCATATGTATCATATGTATCATATAGCTCTGCGGTAGTATCACCAAGTTGACTAGGAAACAAAAAACACTTTAGCATCAATTCAAAAATGCACTTCAGAAAAAATGTAAATAAAAGGCACTTGTGTCATTTGGAACAAATATATGGTCACATGCGTCATACAGATTTTCTTGGAATATGTAACACCTTTCATCTAAAAGCAGACGATAGGTGTGCTTGGACCCTGTGATTGGAAGACGAATTCACATGCACTGCAAGAAGTATATCAAGGTAAAGGTCAAGTTGACTAGGTGCACTCAAAAAGTTGGAAAATAGTTTTACTTTTTGATATGTCCGCCATCTTACAAAACTGTTGACTTTTTTCTTGAAGCTCGAATAGACAGCATGACGTTGGTAGACGAGGAACTTCATATACACCTACAATTAATTTTTCATCTCTGAAAATCCCGGGTTTATTTGGAAACAGCTGTCCATCCGGGCATTTGGCCAGTGAAATAACAAGAAATTACTTACGCGCCGCTGGGCACTTATTGGTGTCGCGCCAAAAAAATGGAAGACATTTCGCCTTCTCTCTTCAGTTGTTAGCACCATTCAAGTCCCTGTGAATATACATTTTATAAACGGGTACCGCTCAGGAGATTTTGACTTCCTGGAGCCTGACGTCAGGCCATGAAAAGTTCTATGTATCTATTCCCAATGATTTTCCTGTTTCTCTCAGTAATAGCACGCTCAGCTTCATTTCTGCTGACGAATGTGACAAGAGCGTCTCCGTTTGGTCTGCCGTCAGTGTTGCGTTGAATCTGTATGCATTCCGGTGTAACCTAAAAAAATGGCAATTTATTAAAAATTTGTAAACAGCCTGATTGAGACATAAAATAAAACAACTTCCTTTTGGACAAAGCATAGCGAGATAAATGTGGAACTAACTTTTCTAACATTACACGCGAATGTGTTTTCTTTTTACATTTGAACACAAAACATTTAACTGTTGCATTTTAATACTCGTTGCTTACACCACCCTTGCTAAATATAAAGATATTCTACAGTATATGGATAAGTAAAACAAATACAATAACACTACATTCAAAAATTTCATCATCTAATCATCTCACATTTGCCTTACCTCATAGAAGCCCTCAAAGAAATTGAGAATGTCCTGTACGGTTGCATTATACGGCAGCCCCCTCATTACGACAACAGAGGGCCCGGAATGGGCATAATAAGTCTGCGGTGACACAGGCGGACTTGGATACCAGTACAGTATTGGCGGGTAGTACGGGTTGGTGGCAGCGGGTCTGGCGGCTGGGATATGTGTGAGTGACGGCGCTACGAACGGTGACGTCATCGAGTGGGCGGCGAAGGGCGTGGCCTGTGGGAGAGCAGTGGCAGTGGCGGCTGTCGGGTAGGGATATGCAGCAGTGTAAGGGGAAGCCGGCGACAGAGTCGTTTGTGGCAGTATTGGGGCACTTGAGAAGGCAACTGTAATGGATGTAAAAAATAAATGTGGTTGTGCCTGGATCAACTGGTAGAAAACATCAGTTGCGTCAGCAGATAAAGAAATTCTTCGTTTTGATGCAAATTTGTAAATACCTGTCTTTACTATTAATCATAATTGCAAAATATTGTAGGGTCATAGCTTATCTGCAAAAAATGTGCTAGATCCAATAAAGTATACCATTTTTCTTATTCTTATTATTATGTTTAACATCAGAAACTGCTACTACTATAAAAATCAGTCAAAAGCATCTTACACTTACTCTGCCCCAAGCCGCCAGTGGCGAGCATGGCAGCGGCAGATGAAGGTTGGAGTTGGTGCACGGGGTGTCTGGCCAGCTGGGGTATCGTCTGCGGGGTCGGGAGCGCGTGGAGGGTCGGCGTCACTGGCGCCGTGGCAGCAACGGCGGCGGCGGCGGCTGCAGCGGGATTAGGGGGCGGAGGTAGGGCCCCGTTTGTCAGCACCATGTTCATGTCCTCCCCGGAACACTGGAAGACCTCTATGTAACGTTTCTTATTCCCGTGGATCATGTACTTTTTGTGGCGACTGGCGGCACAGGCCTCGGCAGACAACTCATTGTCCATCTGGATAAATGCTTCTCCTGTTGGTTGACCCTGTAGAAGATAACGATTAGCATTGTCAATTTGAAGAATTTTGCCTCTGGTTTTCTTCATCTGCATTCCTCTTTATCCAGCAAACAGTTGTATCAGGTTTTAACTTGCATAACAAATGTTCACCAAAAAGAATATAACTGTTTTATATGAAATCAAAAATTGTATTTGTCTAACTACTAGCTTTTTTCCTAATAGTTTTTTTTTCATTTTTTTATACAAAAACACATGAGCTTTCATGGACTCGATTTGAGCAGTCCTACCTGTGCATTGTACACCATATGAACCCCTTGGAAGACAATATTTCTAGAATGTTCCCCTAGAAAATTCAGGATGTCCGTGACCGTGGCCTCGTATGGAAGTCCACGCATGCGCGTACAATCTTTGAGCACGCCACAAGTGATTGCCTGCTGAGGAAGGAATGGAAGACTTTGCGGAAGCGAGGCAATGAGTGGTGGAAGAGGAATGTCTGGCTCTTGCGGGCTCCTTGGATCCATGCTTCTGTTTAACACCTAAAGAACGAAAAACAAAATTATTTGAGGCGATTATTGAGCCATTGAACCCCAAACCAAATCAATGATTTTGTGAACCTACCAACCAGGAAATGTCCGCAGAATACAAAACTACATGCTTTTCAATTAACATATCCTATACCATAATTTATGTTAAACCATGATATAATTATTTCAATGATAATGATAGGATTATTTATGATAAGGTTTTTAAGTTTAGTTGTTGGTAACTATATCGTGGAATAAAGTTACATCAGTGGTTTATCAAAACCAACCGAATACCCTTCCCACATTGCGATAGTTGTACAACACAATTGACAAAATCCTTGTACGATCTTCGTTACCTGTTGTACTTCAGCAGTAGTACTCTTAAACAGTTCAATATATCTGGTTCCAATGAGCTCTCTGTGCTTGAGCAGGGCTGTGTTGGACGCCTCCTCGGTGGCAAAGAGGACAAAAGCATCTCCCGTGGCACGCCCATCTGCCTGGTGGACAAACAAAATCCCTTCTTCTCCATCCAGCACCTCTACCGCATTCTCTCCGCGACGGAAAAAGTCGAGCTGAGGAGAGAGCATAGAGAAAACACCGGTCACTTTCCCTTAGAATGTTAACAAAGAAGCCTTCACCTCAAGCATCTACATTGTATTATGTTTGGTACGTATCACCGGTTGCAGTAATGATAATAAAGATAATACAAACACGCCCCCGCATCAGCAAAACTGATGTTTTAAAAGTAGGTTAGGAGAATTATGTAAAAGTGAAGAAATAAAAATAATTCCATGTTCCCCTTTATCTTTACGCCCGCCTGGAGAGGGTGACTGCTTGTGATAATTGTTTTGTGATGATGTAACATATGATGACGTCACGTTTAGTGGTGTGACGTCACAGTGCACTTCAAGCTGGTTATGCAGTAGTGGTACACGTCACTCGGAGGAGCTAAGAAACCTGTTAAGAAAACTGTAGTATTAAAGGTAGGAAAAAAAGTAAACACCCAAAACCGCTGATATCTCTCTATAGGGCAAATCACCCCCGTGACCCTGTGAATGACTTATGGACCACTCCCAGCATTCGCATAAATGATCTCTACCAGCCATAAAACCCTAAAAGGGGGTAAATACTCAATTTGTTCCCTGGAATAAAGTAGTAAAGAGCAGAGCGTCCCAGGAGAGGCCCTCCAGGGAAGGTGAAGACATAATAACGGTAAAAGACCTCAACGCTTCCTTTATCCCAAGTGGTCGTTATGGTGTTTTCTAAGTTGGCCCAGATCATGTTGAAGTAATCGCCAGCACCCCATATTTTATCACCTATAATATGCCATCAGCCATCATTCGCCTGGATAAATATAAATAATGTCTGAAACCGAACCGTCAGCCTTTCCATATCCATATCCGTATCCGTAAGACCGTGGTGTTATCATACGACCAGATCTAACTAAAAAGCCAAAACACAGGAGCCCGAACCCAGCCTGCCTGCATTGCAAAACCCCCATGACATAGTATAGGCCCGATACGGGATTTTCACTCACTAGGAAGCAGCCACCTGTTTGTTGTATGAATTGGGCTGTGGATATGGAAGGCGGGAGTGCTTACCTGGCTTCAAGACTCAAGTCGCCTCTATCATACATCGCTGAAAGGAAGTCAGATGGTTTTACGTATGTTTTCATTCGGATTTCGCTTTGCATTGTATTACACCGTGCCATAATTTTTTGGATTGTATGCTCTTTTCATTATGTACAAAAATTAAATAGTTTAAATAAACACTCAGATATATGAGCTCTGATATAGGTTCGGTGTTTGGGTGACTTAACCATATCTAGGGAGAGGAGGCAGGATGCAGTGTGTATATTAAATAATCCAGTACATACACGGGGCATCCTACATTCATTTAGCACCTATCAAATAACTTTATATAGGTACACAATGCTGNACCATAGTTTTTTGGATTGTATGCTCTTTTCATTATGTACAAAAATTAAATAGTTTAAATAAAAACTCAGATATATGAGCTCTGATATAGGTTCGGTGTTTGGGTGAGTTAACCACACCTAGGAAGAGGCGGCAGGATGCAGTGTGTACATTAAATAATCCAGTACATACACGGGGCATCCTACATTCATTTAGCACCTATCAAATAACTTTATATAGGTACACAATGCTGTTGGCTATGATTTTGTAGGCCAAGTTTTTTTCATTTTTGATATATTTTCGTTTACATAAAGTTTTTCTTTCTTTTCTTATGATTTCAAATTTAATTTTCCTTTTTTGAGAAGGAAGACTGGGTCAAAAATGTCAGTCTACCTCCCCCCCCCCTTGCCCTCTTACTGATGCCCGCCTGGTTTATATATGGAGTAGAAGTAAAGGACTTGTTGTTTACTTATGCTTTTCGTTATCCAGGCAGATAATAGGGATGTATATAAAGCGGACTTCTATACTTGGTATATTTTGTTTCAAGACTGACATTATCAAACAATACTTTAATGGTGCAAAGTTCACCACACGATTTTTGGGTAAAGTGGTATTTTCATCTGTTATTACTGCTCTTTTTAGTTGTGGCCATGGAAAATATAATTGTGTGGATATTTTTTAATGTATAAGGACATAACGGTTCATTTTGAAGGCCTTCGGGTTTTAATTTTTCTCAGAAAAGTGAAGAAATTACATTTTCATTCAATTTTTGTTAAGGTAGGGAAAAGAACTCACCACTTGTTCTGTTGTGCACGAATAAGGAAGACCGCGCATGCGTATGATCACCTGACCACCACGTGACAGGAATGCCTGGGCCTCTGTGTTGTTACCTGTGGTAAGGAAAAGTGATTAGAGATTATGAATAATCCAAAGTGCGCACTGTCAGGCAGCATCAAAGCCTTGCCGTAATGACACAAACATACATTTGACTTGTGGGGGATGGATAGACTTAACGAGATAGCTTATCATTTACCTAGAACAAATACACAAGAAGTTGTTCCAATGGCCACTAACCATCGTTTTACATGATACAAAAAAACAGCCTTTTGTATGCACTTGACTGGCAAATTTCTGCATTTTTAAAATCCCATTTCACTCAAATTACAAATTTTTAAAATTATTTCCTTACCGCCCGCCACGTTGATGAAGTCTTTCCCCGACGCCTTGTACACTTCAATATACCTCTGTCCAAGATGGTGTTTATGTTTCTTTAAGGCAAGATCCCTGTGCTCTTTATTCTCAAAACGAATAAGAGCTTCTCCATTTCGGCGTCCTTGTTGACTAAGGCACAGAGCAACGCCACCCCTTGAAGTAGAAATTAAGCGTAATGTTAAGGTTATTAACACTCACTCACTAGGCTGCAATGGGCCTTTTAATTTGCTTAAGCACATGGAAATATTTAACCACAATGCGTATGTGAATTCTAAAATTAACCGCATCGTTTTAAAAAGGCAGTTTTGTTAATGAAAGTTTAAATAATGTGACTGTACGTTTGGAAAATATATAGCTTTTATGAAACTGAATGCCAAAACACTAATATGATGGTTGTTGTCTGCTTCCCTGTCTAGTGCAATTGCACCTTGAAATCAAAAATTATTTCATGAATTATTTTACTTTAAATGATATCAATCGAGTTTAAATTGTCGAATTTAAACTGTGCAGAGATATCATATTCCACATTAAAAATATACCTACTTTGCGATGTTAAGGCCACGAAAGAACTTCGCTATATCTTGGTCTGACGATTGCCATGGTAACCCACGTGCCCGGATAACGGTATCGTCATCAACAAATTCAGTTTTATTGCTGCAAAAGAAAAAAATAACGACATTCTAAATGACGGTACAAAATTAGTCATAAATGTGACTCATTCAAGACCAGCATTCAACCAGTGTAATGTTTTCTATATAGATGCAGTTAAGTTGGAGAAAAACATTAGTGACAGACACCATCCTCATTTTTACGATGACAAAACAAAATAAAAATATGGACCCAATTCCAATGGGTTCTCACGCTTAATTTTGAATAGGCAATCAGCTCTATGTGCTTGGATTGGAAAGTAATAGGGCAAAGAAGAAGATTAAAAAGACAGGGGCTAGTGTAAGGAGATGGTGCTTAAAGACCATGACGAGCACAGGTGCGATCTCTATTCATTTATGCTATCTTGAAAGACCACGTTGCTCTAACTTCAAGCAGGTATTTATACGACGCAGTAAAAAAAATACAGACTCGTTTGTCGGTATTCTTTTTGGCAAGCACGCCTTAAGATCTGGCATAGGAGTAGGCATATCTTTGCATTTATGATTGTTTCACGATAATACCACATAATATAATATTTAGCCATTACAGACAGAGCAAACAACGCAGACCTTGCCTGTGAGCTGTGCATATGTTTAATATGCGAATGTATCATTTCTGGGGCAACTCTATATTTACATGCTGAGTAATAGCGGGTAATTTTTTTCCCAATTGATTATACCTAGTTATTATCAATTGGGAAGGTCAAGCCCAAAAAGGGGGCGATATTAGCCAGCATAGCGTGTCCAGGCAGTATTGAAAATGGACAACTGGTAGCAATATATTGTTATATTATGATAAAATATGTGAAGTAAGGCAATTTGGGGATGAATGGCCTTTCATGTATATCACAATTTAGCTAATCGTTGCAGCTAGCGCTATTGTAAATGACCCTGGGTAATGTCTACTCGTTTCTAACCACTCAGTACTTTTAAGCACGCTGAGAGGTTTAACATTTGACTATGGACTGAATTTATGTACCATTTAAATGGTAATTTTAACTATAAATAAAGGTTACATGACAGAAGATTGCTTTTTAGTAGGTGCTAGTGTTAAAACCAGAAAAGAAGTAGGATAGGGTGATCTTTTTATGCAGACGCGACGAGGCCTTGAAATGCAGCCCAAATAAAGACCTATTATATATATTTTTGTAACAGCGTTTGTAAGTATCGCTTGAACTAATGTAGCTGTATAAGAGAATGGAACAGTATGCTCTACAGCGACGGCAGTAATATATTGTTTTCTTCTGATGTGCCACATTAATAACTTCTGTCACGTTTTATGTAATTCTTGATGTGTGGATAAGATAAAACAGTTTTGCCCTCCTGACATAGCTTAGGGACATTGAAAAGACTCTAGCAATAAATCCTTTCAGACTAGGCTCAGATAGATCGAATCTAACACGATCTAAGTGAAATTCTAGCCCTGATTGTGGTCAATGATCCCGTCATGCAGTTAAGAATCACTGGAACCAATTAACAAAACAACAAATTCTGAACTGAATTGGAAACCAGAGGCCGCCATCGAGTCAGGCTGCTCGGGTGCCAGGTTATAGTCTACAGTAGACAAGTACAGTAGAGTCAAGGGCCTCTGTTCTGAGAACGGTCATAATTCCAGCAACCATCCCATACAGATAACAATGCAAATAAATCACAGGCCGCATATCATGTGGAGCGTCGTCCCATGATTTGTGGGGAGGGGTTCGCACTCAATAACTGTCGATTGAATAGATAACAGCGGTGGCATCTTCAGTCGCATGAATCGTATAAAATACCCTCGACATGAATACCATTTGACACATAAATGGTTATACAACATGGTCATTGTAATTGGTAACATTAGATTTCAAACGGCGTAACAGTTGATGTCAACATTGTCACATTTATAAAATATATGAGTTTCACAAATTAGCAGTCTTAACAGCCTTTGTTGAAATAAGAAAAACCTGCTTGAATCAGGTATTGCTTGAGAAACGTGAATTTACTCTACTAAAAACGACAAAAGATTAAGAATCTTACCATATCCCTGGCTCAAGTCTATCCTTAATGATGTCTGGGTCTGTGAACGTGTGTCCTGAAACCAATTTTGATATAACAATTATCCCACATAAACACCATCCCATGTAATGTTTCAACAATAATGATCATGTTTTAACAATAAAAAATTCTACTCACAAAAGACATGATAAATGAAATAAAAGAATGGGAAATGTTGATTGAAAATGCTCAAGTTTGAAATACCACATATCATACATATTTTTTGGACGGGGAGAAAATAACTTTGCCCACCATTTTCCTATTGTAGTATTAATAAAACGTCATATTCAAATTTCTAAAGAAATTTGTGCAAAATTAGATATTAAGATTAAAAGATAGACATTGGCGTATTGGGACATCTATTTTTGCCTCCGTGGCGCTATTATCGGACAAATGCTGAACTTTTGGGTCATCTTTTTGCCAAATATTCAAAGCACGATTTTTAGTGGCTCAAGAATATATCAAATAGCGGACCTCACTACACGTGTCTTACATCTTGTATCTCTACTATACTAGGATGCAAGGTTTTGATGGCATTACCGTTGCAAATACTAAATAAGTTATGATCTCAGATAAATCCTTACAAGAGAAAGGACCTTGAACGACGTTGTCGTTGTACATCTTCGACCCTCCTCCCAGATTTGCCAGATTAGGCAGGGGAACCACATTTTTGTAAACAATGGTTTATAATTTAATAGTCTTGTACAGCGAAGTGGACAAGATAGGCAATCTGTTGATACTGTTANGCCATAATTTTTTGGATTGTATGCTCTTTTCATTATGTACAAAAATTAAATAGTTTAAATAAACACTCAGATATATGAGCTCTGATATAGGTTCGGTGTTTGGGTGACTTAACCATATCTAGGGAGAGGAGGCAGGATGCAGTGTGTATATTAAATAATCCAGTACATACACGGGGCATCCTACATTCATTTAGCACCTATCAAATAACTTTATATAGGTACACAATGCTGTTGGCTATGATTTTGTAGGCCAAGTTTTTTTCATTTTTGATATATTTTCGTTTACATAAAGTTTTTCTTTCTTTTCTTATGATTTCAAATTTAATTTTCCTTTTTTGAGAAGGAAGACTGGGTCAAAAATGTCAGTCTACCTCCCCCCCCCCCCCTTGCCCTCTTACTGATGCTCGCCTGGTTTATATATGGAGTAGAAGTAAAGGACTTGTTGTTTACTTATGCTTTTCGTTATCCAGGCAGATAATAGGGATGTATATAAAGCGGACTTCTATACTTGGTATATTTTGTTTCAAGACTGACATTATCAAACAATACTTTAATGGTGCAAAGTTCACCACACGGTTTTTGGGTAAAGTGGTATTTTCACCTGTTATTACTGCTCTTTTTAGTTGTGACCATGGAAAATATAATTGTGTGGATATTTTTTAATGTATAAGGACATAACGCTTCATTTTGAAGGCTTTTGGGTTTAAAGTTTTCTCAGAAAAGTGAAGAAATTACATTTCAATTCAATTTTTGTTAAGGTAGGGAAAAGAACTCACCACTTGTTCTGTTGTGCACGAATAAGGAAGACCGCGCATGCGTATGATCACCTGACCACCACGTGACAGGAATGCCTGGGCCTCTGTGTTGTTACCTGTGGTAAGGAAATGTGATTAGAGATTATGAATAATCCAAAGTGCGCATTGTCAGGCAGCATCAATGCCTTGCCGTAATGACACAAACATACATTTGACTTGTGGGGGATGGATAGACTAAACGAGATAGCTTATCATTTACCTAGAACAAATACACAAGAAGTTGTTCCAATGGCCACTAACCATCGTTTAACATGATACAAAAAAAACAGCCTTTTGTATGCACTTGACTGGCAAATTTCTGCATTTTTAAAATCCAATTTCACTCAAATTACACATTTTAAAATTATTTCCTTACCGCCCGCCACGTTGATGAAGTCTTTCCCCGACGCCTTGTACACTTCAATATACCTCTGTCCAAGATGGTGTTTATGTTTCTTTAAGGCAAGATCCCTGTGCTCTTTATTCTCAAAACGAATAAGAGCTTCTCCATTTCGGCGTCCTTGTTGACTAAGGCACAGAGCAACGCCACCCCTTGAAGTAGAAATTAAGCGTAATGTTAAGGTTATTAACACTCACTCACTAGGCTGCAATGGGCCTTTTAATTTGCTTAAGCACATGGAAATATTTAACCACAATGCGTATGTGAATTCTAAAATTAACCGCATCGTTTTAAAAAGGCAATTTTGTTAATGAAAGTCTAAGTAATGTGACTGTACGTTTGGAAAATATATAGCTTTTTTGAAACTGAATGCCAAAACACTATTAAGATAGTTGTAGTCTGCTTCCCTGTACGGTGCAATTTTACCCTAAAATCAAAAATTATGTCATCTGTTATTTTACTTTAAAAGATAACTAATTGTGTTGAAATTGTTGAATTTAAACTGTACTGAGATATCATATTCCACATTAAAAATATACCTACTTTGCGATGTTAAGGCCACGAAAGAACTTCGCTATATCTTGGTCTGACGATTGCCATGGTAACCCACGTGCCCGGATAACGGTATCGTCATCAACAAATTCAGTTTTATTGCTGCAAAAGAAAAAAATAACGACATTCTAAATGACGGTACAAAATTAGTCATAAATGTGACTCATTCAAGACCAGCATTCAACCAGTGTAATGTTTTCTATATAGATGCAGTTAAGTTGGAGAAAAACATTAGTGACAGACACCGTCCTCATTTTTACGATGACAAAACAAAATAAAAATATGGACCCAATTCCGATGGGTTCTCACGTTTAATTTTGAATAGGAAATCTGCTCTATGTGCTTAGATTGGAAAGTAATAGGGCAAAGAAGAACATTAAAAAGACAGGGGCTAGTGTAAGGAGATGGTGCTTAAAGACCATGACGAGCACAGGTGCGATCTCTATTCATTTATGCTATCTTAAAAGACCATGTTGCTCTAACTTCAAGGAGGTATTTATACGACGCAGTAAAAAAAATACAGATTTGTTTGTCGGTATTCTTTTTTGGCAAGCACGCCTTAAGATCTGGCATAGGAGTATAGGCATATCTTAGCATTTATGATTGTTTCACGATAATACCACATAATATAATATTTAGCCATTGCAGACAGAGCAAACAACGCAGACCTTGCCTGTGAGCTGTGCATATGTTTAATATGCGAATGTATCATTTCTGGGGCAACTCTATATTTACATGCTGAGTGATAGCGGGTAATTTTTTTCCCAATTGATTATACCTAGTTATTATCAATTGGGAAGGTCAAGCCCAAAAGGGGGGCGGTATTAACCAGCCTAGCGTGTCCAACCAGTATTGAAAATGGACAACAGGTAGCAATATATTGTTATATTATGATAAAATATGTGAAGTTAGGCAATTTGGGGATGAATGGCCTTTCATGTATATCACAATTTAGCTAATCGTTGCAGCTAGCGCTGTTGTAAATGACCCTGGGTAATGTCTGCTCGTTTCTGACGTCTCAGTACTTTTAAGCACGTTGAGGGGTTAAACATTTGACTATGGACTGAATTTATGCACCATTTAAATGGTAATTTTAACTATAAATAAAGGTTACATGACAGAAGATTGCTTTTTAGTAGGTGCTAGTGTTAAAACCAGAAAAGCAGTACGATAGGGTGATCTTTTTATGCAGACGCGACGAGGCCTTGAAATGCAGCCCTATATAAAGAACTATTATATATATTTTTTGTAAAAGCGTTTGTAAGAATCGCTTGAACTAATGTAGCTGTCTAACAGAATGGAGCAGTAAGCTCTACAACGATGGCAGTAATATATTGTTTTCTTCTGATATGCCACATTAATAACTTCTGTCACGTTCTATGTAATTCTTGATGTGTGGATAAGATAAAACAGTTTTGCCCTCCTGACATAGCTTAGGGACATTGAAAAGACTCTAGCAATAAATCCTTTCAGACAAAGCTCAGATAGATCGAATCTAACGCAATCTAAGTGAAATTCAAGTCCTGATTGTGGTCAATGATTCCCGTCATGCAGTCAAGAATCGCTGGAACCAATTAACCAAACAACCAATTCTGAACTGAATTGGAAACCAGAGGCCGCCATCGAGTCAGGCTGCTCGGGTGCCAGGTTATAGTCTACAGTAGACAAGTACAGTAGAGTCAAGGGCCTCTGTTCTGAGACCGATCATAATTCCAGCAACCATTCCCATACAGATAACAATGCAAATAAATCACAGGCCCCATATCATGTGGAGAGTCGTCCCATGATTTGTGGGGAGGGGTTCGCACTCAATAACTGTCGATTGAATAGATAACAGCGGTGGCATCTTCAGTCGCATGAATCGTATAAAATACCCTCGACATGATTACCAGTTGACACATAAATGATCATACAACATGGTCATTGTAATTGGTAACATTAGATTTCAAACAGTGTAACAGTTGTTGTCAACATTGTGACATTCATTTAAGTTTGAGTTTTACAAATTAGCAGTCTTAACAGCCTTTGCTGAAATAAGAAAACATACTTGAATCACGTATTCCTTGAAAAACATGAATTTACTCTACTAAACACGACAAAAGATTAAGAATCTTACCATATCCCTGGCTCAAGTCTATCCTTAATGATGTCTGGGTCTGTGAACGTATGTCCTGAAACCAATTTTGATATAACAATTATCCCACATAAACACCATCCCGTGTAGTATATTGACAATAATGATCATGTTTTAACAATAAAAAAACATTTTACTCACACAAAATATGACAAATGAATTAAAAAAAATGGGAAATGTTGATTGAAAATGCTCAAGTTTGAAATACCACATATCATACATATTTTTTCGACGGGGAGAAAATTATTTTGCCCACCATTTTCCTATTGTAGTATTAATAAAACGTCATATTCAAATTTCTAAACAAATTTGTGCAAAATTAGATATTAAGATTAAAAGATAGACATTGGCGTATTGGGATATCTATTTTTGCCTCCGTGGCGCTATTATTGGACAAATGTTGAAGTTTTGGGTCATCTTTTTTGCCAAATATTCAAAGCACGATTTTTAGTGGCTCAGGAATACATCAAATAGCGGACCTTACTACACGTGTCTTACATCTTGTATCTCTACTATACTAGGATTCAAGGTTTTGATGGCATTACCGTTGCAAATACTAAATAAGTTATGATCTCAGTTAAATCTTTACAAGAGAAAGGACCTTGAACGACGTTGTCGTTGTACATCTTGAAGCCCTCCTCCCAGATTTGCCAGATTAGGCAGGGGAACCACATTTTTGTAAACAATGGTTTATAATTTAATAGTCTTGTACAGCGAAGTGGACAAGATAGGCAATCTGTTGATACTGTTAATGGCGTTTAAAATGGACATGGGTGACACGACAGCCAAGGTTTATGGACTTTCTAGATTAATGGATTTGATCGTATAATCAAGATGGCATGCGTCATGAAACATGAAACAACTGAAGGGAAAGTATTCCCTCTTGGCTTCCCCAAGCACTAAAGTTTACACAAACCCAGGAATCACCTTTTTTCTAAACCAAGATGGTATTAATTCAATAAGCGCAACAATATAGAGCACAATGATACGCCATTGGCAAAACAATTTCCACCCAACCCTCGATACTGCAGGTAAAATATGGTCACAGGAACGCTTTAATACCTGTGTCGCCTTAAGCAACGGAACAACTGACGGTACCGTTTACTCCATTCACCTTCAGGGCACTCAGGAAACTACCGAAAATGACCCATAATTTTCGCATGATCGGTATACCGTTTATATCAAAGGTAATGTCTGTATTTTTTTCACATGTGAATTTATGTGAATGTACGGACCATGAGAGGAATTTCTATGCATAAACATCAATCATGAGCCGCTGAAACAATAGACGGAGAGGGGACCTATGGGTTACGTGTTTGAATGTATGTAAAACAATAGTTTCGACATACCACAGGATCGGCCTGATCCTGAGAATATTCTTAAACCAAAAAATTGGGACACATTTATATGTGTCATATCTAGTTATAGTTGACAAATATTTTTTTATCTTTCTGAACTGTGAAAATGATTGAGTGGATAAATGGAATTGGGTGGAAATTGTGTTTTGAATATCTTTATACAAAAAATATCACATGTTCGATAATGCTTCGTAATAAAATGACATTTAACCTATTTTAAGGAAGGGCTATAGCTAACAAAATTAATGATAAACATTTTCAAGGTGGATAATTTTCAAACACACGTTTTTATTTGATACTTTCTTCGTATCGCTGTTCAGAATTGAATACATTAAAGATTTCGATGGGATGTAATCTAGACCAGGTATATTGAACAAACTGATGAAAATCGCGTTACATGACGCATGCATTGATGTAACGAGTCCAGCAGCTGTCACTTTGGACGTCGTCATCCATTAAACGTTACAGGGCTTGTCCTTATTCTGCATCATTCATGACAAGCGGGTGTTTGTCATAGCAACGGGGCGGTTGCCATGGTTCCTTACGCTTGTCTCATTCTGAGCATGACCTGCAGTTTTCACTTACCACTGCAGAAACTTTCTGGGATAATGATGTCAAATGGTGGTATCAGATGGTAGTATAAATCACATCCAATCTATTGAACCATAATGCTAGAGTCCATTAGAATGGTTTACCTACCGTCATTAATGAGTCTAGTTATAATACTGGACATTTCCTGGCATTGTCGAACTCCATAGTCTACAGACTGGTCCCCTTCTAAACCAAGATCTGAGGAAAGCCGTTAAGGAATATAAAAGAAATAAGTACAGATGGATACACAGTGCTAATACAACCATTTACTGATTTCGGTGTAGCGGAATCTGCACTGTCAATGTGTATTATTGAAAAAGTACAAACGCTTTGCAATGTCTACATAGTATCAATAGGCCTACATATGCTGGCATTGTATGCTATTGTTATTGTTGAGTCTTTGGGTAGTAGAAATTATCATATTTTTTTGAGTTATGCGACATTATCCTCATATTGTATGAGTATAAAAAGGGCCAAGTTTCAACACGACTTTTTACTGCAACCCCCCAAAAAAAACACTGAAAGGAGATAAAGCCGAGTGTCGTTCCATGCCTTTTTGACACGTCCCACCCAAATCAGGGGGCAATTCACATAAAACAGGTTTCAGACCCAGACAGATCTATAATCTCACGAAGTCAAGTTAAATATTCTTTCTGTCAGGTTAATAGCTTGAGATTGTCAACGAGGTTGGAAAGCAAGGTTATCGGCGCATGACCCTGTGCAGGTAATGGCTGATATATACATGGCTGAGGTGTCTTCTTTCACGCTTTCTGCTTTTTGCTTTGTACGGAAACAAACTTCATTGTACATGAGTTGCGATCAAGGAGTTTTAATCAAATAAATACTTGATGATAGAGTTTAGGGTATGCTTAAATTGTGCATATCTTTTATATTTCACAACCAGTGGGTGGGTGGGTGGGGGGTCAAAGTCATTTGCCTGCAAGCAAAATGCACGATACTTGGAATAACATGAGCGACTTCGCATTTTAAGAATAAGCAGAGCGATGTTATTTAAAATGGCATTTGCTATCAAGCGACACAAGCCGTGTACCCTCACGGCGATGAAAGGCGTGAATAAGTAGGAGTTCAATGGTTGTCTCATATGCACGAGACCTCGTGATTTGGCAACTACTAATAACAATATGTCGGAATCACATTTGTGCTCCCCCGTAGCACTAGTATTACGTAACGCCGCCCCGTTGTCCCGTATGTATTATCCCCATGTTCGTCTGCTATCTTTGAAGAGAGAGTTCGACACGGACAAATTGTACAAAAAAAAAAAAAAAAAAAAA